CGTAAGTTAGTCTCCGTTGTAGTACATATAACAATCTCTGACGCCGAGTTTCCAGACGTGCGGTCGTCATCGTCATCATCGTGAACGTCACTGTCCGCCAGTCGTACGGCAGATCGGTTCACCAGCGGATTGTCGATCACACGAGCGGTAAGAAAGCATGGGGAGAGGAAATTCGCTGTCGATCGTTTTGGAGGGATGGACTCATTGAAACGACATGCGTATTTCATTTATAAGTCGAGATGCAGGCGGAATCTCGGAGAATTTCGGATCCTAGGAGGAAATCGATTTCAGGAGAACTCGATTTTTCCGAAGATCACCCATGGCGGCCTGCGACCGCACCCCATGAGAGTCAGCGTGTAGCGTGTGAACCCTCTGCTCACAGAAGGCTCCGAAGCGGAAGGGTCTCCTAACCTTCAGAAGGGTCTCCTCATTTTACGGAGTGTCTCTTCGTGAACCTCAGCATCAGTGGGCATCTTACACTAGCTCTTCATTTCATATGATTCATATTGTAGCGCGCATTTTAAGCGAAGTCAGGGAAACCCAGAAGACGAATCCTGTCTCAGCCGTGGAATCGTCCCGGAAAACCTCATTCCTTGCCTGGAAGCCCGCGCGGAATACCCTCGGAGATTCCAGATGATCCGAATGGCGGAGTTTCCTTGCACGAAACTCGAGAAACCCGGGGGACAAAAGTTTAGAATTCGAGACATCCCCGAAAGTTTCTGGAGACAAGCTCTACATATTAGACAATTTCTGAGGCTCCCTCCTTCGTCAAAGAATGATCACCCTGCGCGCGTATAAACGGTTGCCATAAGGCCACCCAGAACCTACCGCGATGACCCACTTTCGCGGAGTGGTTTCTGGGGTGTCAGTTCGCCTGTGGGGAAGCGAAGAGTCGACCGAAACGCCTCGGAGACTTCTGCTCAACTTCTTCCTCGTCCAACTCTCGTGCTCTAATCAAGCGTCCATGTAGAGATCGCATGGTGGAGGCGAAGTATCTGGGCGGGATCGTTGGCGAGGTCGGTTATGTTCGCGTATAGACGACGAGCCGTGTACGTGTTCGATGCCAGTTTTCCCCCGGTCTCATCATGTTCTTCGAGAAGCTACTTCTCGCCTTAATTAGCCACTCATTGGAGGGAGCTTCCACGTGGGGGAGGGAGTTTCCACTTGAGGGGGGAAGGGAGGGCAGCTGAGGGCAACGGCACATGGAGTCAAAGCCAAAAACTCGACCACGACGACGACGACAACACGTAGACAGGTTCCGCTTGCTTAAACCAGAATAGCAAAGCTCGCCATCGTCGATAGCGGAGGCTGCGGCTCGGGGTTGAAGCATGCGTGAGTCTTTCCGCTGCTTGATCTTAGATCTACGACCAGGGTGCCAAGCGACAACCGCATGCCTCTGTAGTCGCCGTCTGTCCGCTTGTCCGACAGTGGGTCTTACAGAGACTGCATACTACCTAACCGCCTCAGTGAGTGCTCGCTCGCTTGCCTCCGGCTCATAAGAACCTATTCTGGTTGACACGGACAGTGAGCTTATTTTAGAGTTTCTTGATGAGCTGGTTTTGCTGCGGCAGCGGCAAGCTCCTCATCGTCAGCGCCCATTGTTCTGCCCACCGCTGATGCGTAGAACCATTGGCAAAAGTTACAATAGCTTCTCCTTCATGACAAGGCAAGTTGATAATGGAACGAGCAATATTAATTATGACCACCACAACAACCAGAACGAGGACAGAACAGTGATGACGACGATACTCTACGCTGATGAACTCGAACCGAACGACCGACGCGTGCATCCGAATCGGAATAGTCCCCGGATGGTTCCGGGAAACGCAGGGAATACTTTTCGCGCAGCGAATCTGGAGCGATATGGAGACGCAATGTATCTGCGAGGCCGATGCCAACAACTCAGCCAAGCCAACAAAATCCTCCTCCTGCGCACGACTACCTGAGATGAGGAGCAAGGAGCCGATGTTGTACAACACAGCGCTCGTGGAGGCGATAAGAACAAGTTTCCTCTTACGCAAGTGTTTCGCAACATGCTCGTGAATGTTGCAGTTGTCCCTAGGTGTCATACACTCGGAGCAGTCTACATTCGTTACAGCTACATTCGTTGCCGCGACAGAACAACGGCGGAGGCCTCTCGCGAGAGGGTACATCCGCGAGATCAATGCCGCCTGCCGATATTTCGCAGCGAAAACTGCAAGCCGCCTTGCTTGAGCGGCTGTTGTTATTGCAGTTGCGGTTCGGTGACACCATTCCTGAAGTTATGCCCCGTGCCGTTTTTTTTCCGAGTTTCTTCCCAATTGTAGACGCAGAAGGATGGGAGGAATGTATGTTTGACTCTGAGTTCGTGTGGCATCTTTGGCGCTTTTTCTCCCTCTTCTCTGGCTCGTGAGATGAAAAGAAAACCATGTACTTGCTCCCTCGTTCGCTTGCTTCTCTTTTTATTTTTTTCCTTGCTCCTCTCGGTCGCGTTTGTCGCGCTTCTCCGCCCGAAGGGCCAAATGTGTGATGTTGAGATTCCCGCGTCAGAAGAAGGCTGTCTGTCGGTCGTGCGTTTCTCCGAGGCGGTGGTGGTTTTGGTGGTAAACGCGATTCGTTCCGCGAGTGGAATCTCTCCTCAACTCGCTTGCTCGCTCGCTTTCTCCGAGAAGAAATGTCGCTCACGCTTTAATAACATTACGCTCTATGGGAAAAGATCGGGGGGCCTTGGGAAGCGAGCTCAGTGGGAGCCCAGCTCGATGGTCGGCTCTGGTCTCCATCAGGAGTTTTTCTCACTAAAAGTATTTATTGTGTTCGGATCACGATAAAAGAATCCATGTTCCTCGCTCGAACTCGCTCCAAACATTGTTTTTCCCCGACGAAAATTCTCTCGCCGTCACCGCCGCCGGCAGAACGGACGGCCGAGGTCGAGAAGAACAGCATCGGAAAAAAAACTATCGGACACGTGGTTGAAGGAAACCAGGAGTGATCGCGTGACATGTTCTCTGGTCCCTTCCTTCGGTCGACGAATCGACGAAGACCTCTTGGCAGGGGACCTTCAATGCTGACGCAGCCATCGGATAAGTTCCGCAGCACTCGATGTTTGTCGATAAAACAAAATCACTTTGTTGAGATTCAGCGCGCGGTGCCCTCCCAGGATGGATCACCGCGTTGTCGATCTTAAGCGAGTCGTTACTGTGTGGGAGACATTGTCGTCGCCGTCCTCTACTTTCTCCTCAGCCCCAGTCAGACTATGAGGCACGACTTTGTAACGCCGGCGACGTCGAGAGATAAACGTCGTCTCCTGATGATTATTTAAATCGATGAATCTCCCACCAAAATACATTCGTCTGCCGTAATTTATTCCCGAAACCGCGGATTATCCCTCTGCAGTATCGGCTCGATGAGTACATACATAAGCAGTATTGCTCGGTGATACACATCCCTGCCGCAGTATAAACGCAACTTTCGGTTTACGTGGGCATGGAGGCGAGCGAGTCTGGTTATCGGAGCAGGTTGAGTATCCTAGCAACGTTTGAGGAGCAGTCGAAATTATCAGCGGAGGGGAAAGTCCCCGAATAGATCGGGCAAACGAATGCCAGTCGCTCGGCGGACCCCCTGCTGATACTCAACGAACTCCAGCAATCGTTTTAATAAGCGAGCGCTAGTCAGCCATCGGACGATCATTCATGTAGACTCCTTCGCTCTCTTCCGGTCGCTCCACCTAAGCCTCGTCCTCCTGAATTCACTCCTGAGTCCCTTCTCAGGATCTGAAACCGACACAACAAAGACCCAGTCAGCCGACGGTCGCCCGCCCGCCAGCCAGCCAGTCAGACGAGCCGCCCGCCCGTCTGCCCGACCGACCGATTGAACGAATCGACCGAGCGACCTATGTCTTAGCGCCAAACAGGCGATTGGTTCAAGTTAAGGGAAGCTCGAGATAGGCTAGAATGGATGGAGGGAGGGGGGCACGAGCAGAAGAAGAGATGGCACGTGCGGTGACTCAACTTGTGGGGAGTCATAAGTGCTGAGAGAAAACCATTGAATAAGGAAATCCTGCTTAGCCAGCTTAGACAAGCCGACAGCGGCCTGCCTGGCGGCTCCCACCCATTCATTCAGTCAGTCAGTCAGTCTTCTGCCTGCTTGCCTGCTTGTCGATCCAATGGAGGAAGATCGACACCGATGGAAGATAGCTGATTAAATGGTTCGAAAAGATGTGTCCGCCATGATAGTAGTCTCTGTCATCATCGTGTTCACCACAATCGCATGAGAGACGGTGTCATTCGATTCAGGAGGTATTGCTGGATCCATTCTCTGGACGGGTCCAGCTTCATATCGGGAGGATGAACCTCCGCAAAACGAGAAATGAGGAATCCGTCGGGAAGGAAAACGGTGGGGAGACTATGGATTAGGGTTCCCCCGCTCGGAATGTGCATGGGTACTGATCGACCTCCACCGGGTGAGTCGCGGAGCTCGCAGTGGATTCCAGGCTTGGATCGGTAGCGGAAAGTACGAGATGCTCCCACAGAACGTTGCTTATCGACGGGGTCATTGAGGTCGTCCGCTGTTTCGAGGCTTTCCCTCTGGACTCTCATCCGAAATCCCACGTCAAGGCCTCGCGTATCACCGGTAAGGGAAATCTTCCGTGGACGCATCGACGAAAGCGGATGCATCTGATGAAGACCTCAGTACTTGACACATACTGCTGTTGGTGGCGACCGGTACAGCAGCCCCCCTGAAATTCTGACGGGGACCCCTGCTCTCAGAAAACTCCACCGAGAAGGTTTCCTCTCGCCGTAGAAGTAGGTAAGTGGTTAGGTGAACTCGAAGCATCGGGCTGAAGTTTCGAATCTTTCTTCGGTAGCGTGGACCGGCTAACGAGATCTCTCACTGTCGTTTTCGGAGGTGGAGAATACCCCTCTCCATTTTCGAAAACGACCGCGCTCCGGTGAGGGAGTGCTTTAGGAGAGAATTCCCTGCGATCGCAGCGCCCCTTTAGCGCGACCACGCTTCAAAGTGCTCGGGATCGTGTTTGTGTTGTTGTCCAGTGTGTGCCTCCTACTACTTGAGGTGCGATTTTTCGATTTGGAGGAAAAGAAGAGGAAAATTGAGAGTCTGATCAATTTTTTGTCCGGAGCTCAGATGCAGACGAAGTGATCTCATCGACTCCGGACCTTGGCTTCCAAGCCCCCTCAATTGTGAATCATAAGTAGAGCAGAAGTATTTTGCGCGCGGGCCGAGCTACCGGTGTTTCCCGTGCTCAAGTGGTGAAGTTGATGCTTTTTCTGATGCAGATTCTTGGCGGATCGACCAAAGCATTGCGAACAAGGAGATCCCACCGATAAGACAGAGAGCTTCCCTCTCACAGGGCGACGATTGGTTCGTCAACATTCGTTCGCGACGAAAGTCATCCGAGGTTTCACCAACATCACCATGGCGGTGCGGAATGTCGCATACACCACCGACGGTGCGGGAAATTACAATGTTAGAGTCTGGAATCTAGAGACAGGCGGTCCGTTGAGCTGTTACACTGGAGGGGTTTCGCAGCCACGGACACTGTCCTTCATAAAGGGAGATTACATACTCTCGGCTCAGAAAGATAAAACGTGAGTTCAACTTCGGTGCACGAGAAATCCAACTGATGCCCTGGAAACTCATATTCAATAGGGCCTCACAGACGTGACGCACTCACGTAGTCACGAGTCTCCAATTGAACCACTAGGGTGCCTCTATTCGATCGATCCCTTGACTGTATTCTCAATTTGCTCCTCCAGAGCCTTCAGTCTGTGGTCGTTCAGACAATATGAACAATCTACTCGGAGATTCGCTGCTCCGGACAAGGTCAGAGCCCTGGCCGTTTCACCGAGCGGCAATCACTGCGTCGCTGGCATCGGTTGCGAACTGTACTTGTGGGAAGTCTCGACTGGAGCGCTTATCGGAAGTATACAAGCGCATTTCCAGCCGGTGACGGTCGTGAAATTCACCGACGACGGAACTTCAGTCATATCCGCATCCCATGACAGCTCCGTGAGCGTCTGGCCCATCGACTGCTTCCATCCCGACGAAATTCCTGAGCCCGACATGACGTTCAAGGATCACAACCAGGCAATACAGGATATGTGCGTGGTCGGATCCTTGGTGACCTCTGTCAGCAGCGCTGGTCTCTTAACGGTCCATAGTCTGCAAACGGGCTGTCTCGAATACAGGAAGTTCTTTGGCAAAGTCATCGACTCCGTGGACATGACGCCGAGCATGGACGCGGTTTTCGTAGGTTTCAAAGAAGGAACCATCGTCCGCTTGAGCCTTAAAGATGAATCTCAGCTCGAGTTCGTCGGACACAATGGACCCGTGAGATGTTTATCGGTGTCGACCCATCTGCTGCTCTCAGGATCCGATGATGCTACCGCTCGGATCTGGGACGCCGAACACGGACATCTCCTGCAAACACTGCGCCACGACGGAGCTGTCACTAACGTCAGGATCGCCTCATTCCCGAGCAACGCTCTCTCCAAGGAAGCCAACAAATCCAAAGGTCAGTCAATGGGTACGATTAAATTTTCCAGCCGACATCACTTGTGAGGACTGTTTCTCAAATCGAGTTTGGATCGCATTCCAGCCCTGGCCTCCGTTTGCAACTTCCAACGAGCCTTCTCGAAAAGTGACGTTACGCGTCAGAGTCACGATCGCCTCGAGGAGGAGCAGGAAAACGTTGCGATCGAAGTCAAGCCTTGCGAAAGAGCTCAGGAAGAGCTCTCGATTCCTCCGCAGACAAGGGACATGATGAAGAAGATCGCCATTGCGAACACCGACATTGTGAACTTTGTTGTGGCCAGTCTCTGAAACAGCCCGGCTGTGGATGGATAGAATGTCAATCGATACCCATCGGAGCAGCGTACGTGCTCCCCTGATGTACGGCCTTGTAAATAAATATGGATATTTCGGCAATGTTTCTCCCTCGCTCAACTCCGTATACTCAAGCAATGAATATCCATAGAGGCATCATTCAGAGTGCCCTAGTTCTCTTTCTCATTCATGAATCATGAAAACAAGTGAAGGGAAGCCCGCCGCGACAGGCTCAATGAGGCTATAAAATTGTTTTTTTTTTCGATGGAGAATAATTCCGACGGTTCGATCAATCTCAATTCCGCTTTCCCGCTGAGAGTTCACATCGAACTAGGGTGGAAAGCAATAAAAGTTCGACGCTAAAACTGATCGTCGAAGACGTATCGGCCCAAGAACGTTCTACACATCGGCCCGATACGCCTGATTCCGTTAGAAGAGAGGAGCATTCTGTTTCCCCGGGCGGAATTCCGCTCAGAAACCTCAAGGCGTTTGATCATCGAACGTTTCAAAAAACTTGCTAAACGATAGATGATTCGTCTGATCCTCTTCTCGCGTCGTCGTCCCCTTAGGAGAGGGAAACCTCGGCCGAAGCTCTTAATTGGCAACGCAGCCCGATTTTTATCGCGGCTCGTTAATGACCGAGGACCCAAACTTTTTGACTTCGATGATAGCGGCAACGCATTTCACCCTACTCGTTCTCCTGACGCTCAGCGCGCATTCTTCGCGTCGACCAATAGCTCGATCCATTCATCCGCTATCGTCAACCAGCACCTCGGAGATTTTGAGGAGCGTAACCAAGTCGCTGCTCAAGATGAATCGGAAGGCGGCGCTCACGCGCGTTTTCAATTCGGCGCCCGAGGACAACGGAGGGACCTGCAGGATTAGTTCCAATCTAATGGGGGATGGATTCCATCCTGAAAGGAACAGTCTCGGACTGTATAATACCGGATCTCCTGTTGTTCTGCCGACTGATAGAATACGAAGTTTATCGAGCGGCAGTCGACAGGCGGTCGAAGTCTCGTCGTCCGTGCGCAGTGTCTCGTGTAATCTGAACACAGGTAAAACTCCTCTCAGTCCCGAATTCGTCCGCTGTAGACAGAGAAAATTAAATTTCCGGTTCAGAACGAAGACTTAGAGTTGCAACAGCGCGACGACCGGCCGATCGACCGACAGGCGGAAAACCTACAAGATTGGGGAAGCTCAGAACGGATATTGGGAATCGAGGGAGACTTTCTAGAGTCGGCGTTCGTACACCTCCGTCCGAATACTCCGCTAGGCCCTCGTCATTTTCCGTGAGCCCCTCACATCCTGAGGATTATCCCAGATTTCCACTCTCCCTCCTCAAATATCCTCCTCATTCCTCCGAGTTGCCTCTCTTCGAGTTGCTCCGGCAGCGGCCCTGTCGTTCTGAAAAATCACACGCAAGCAATCGATTGGAGAGCACGGAACCAAAAGTGATCTGCGAACGCTCAATCCCCAGCTCGTCGATCCCGGCCTGGAATCGAGTGAGCTCGATCCGTGTGGAAAAGCACGGCTCGATGATGAGCGCCGGAGCGAGGTTGATTGGCGTTGACGGTTTTTTCCTCCCGCGGCGCCGACGACGACCACCACCTACTTATAGTCGGACGGTTCCGAATCCGGAGCCAGAGCCCAGGGTCGAGGGACCGGCAGCCTTTCGACGCTCTGGAGAGCCGGATAAAATCCCCTTCCCAGGTCACTTAGTTTAATACTCCAGCTGTAAAACGGGATAGGCGGCGGCCGTAAAGCAAAACTACCTGGCCTGAGTTACGGCTTGAAGGACGTAGTTCCATGAGACGCTGGACATCGGCATCCGAGCGACCTGTCGGACCAACATTCGAGTTGTGCCGATCGGAATCTTGCCGTTGCTCTCGCAGGACCAGAAAAACATAAAAACTTGAATCTGGACACGAGAGCTCAAACTCGGTCGGACGGAGAGGGAAAATTCTTCCCGGTCGTTTCCCATCCGGAGTTCTCCGGGAGGATCACATCCCAAGGGTCCACGCAAGCTATCCGAATAAGTTCGTTCTGACAGTCAGGCTATCGAATCATAAATATCCGTGAGTCCTCGAGACGCGGTGGATTCATTCAGGAGCTTCTCCGGTCGGATCTGATGAAAAAGCAGGGTATCAAGTTCTTAGCGAACGGAATCGTTTCGGTTGCCATATCAGGTTGAATGGGGCTTGAGGGAGGCGCTTCCAATTAGTGAGGCTGATTCAGATATCTTCCCATGAATAATAGGCTTGAGTATCTGCCCTTCGAGAGTCCGATCGGATTCTACCCATCTTTGTGAGCGATCTTTTCTCTCCGGCTCCCCGATAAGGGTTCCGCGAAATCATTCGAGATGCGCGGACGGTGAGAGAATAAAGTTTTTGCCTGACGAGGTTCTTATAGTTTGTTTGAGCCGGTGCCTCGGCGCGAGAAGTTTCTTCTGGCATCAGGTGTCGGGAGGCGAAGGTTTTCACAATGCGACTCGTTCAGCTGCTCCGGGTGAGGTTCCGAAGAGCCGAGAGAAAGGTAGGGAGCACTTCAGGTAGCCGACACCTCGGCTGTGAAGTATCGAGCAACCGTAAAACTTTGAGGTGTTGTTGAGAGTTCGCCGAATCGGCGATTGTGACGTCGGCGGACCAACGCGCGGCGTCGCCGTCGGAGATGAGTGATTCAATTTTTTTTATTTTTTCCCGTAGCGACGGAAGTCATCCAACTCTTATTATTATCCGGTTCTTCGGTCGATCCACCATCTACGGGACATACCTTATATTAGCAAGTCCTCACTGATTATCCGTTTTTCAATAGATTCAATACAAGGAGTCAGATAGCAAGTAAATCCGCTGTACGAAAGTATCACCGACAACCATTCACGGCGGTGAAGCACTCAACACACATGAGTTTCGTAACTTTTGAGAGCAAACAACGATAGACCCCTCGCACTCCGAGACGACACTGACACTCATGACTGCCGAGCGTCTAAGTGGAAGCTTGGGAGAGCACCGATGGGGTCCTCACCACTTTTTGAGAGAGGGAATCTGTTGCTTGCCCGTTGCTTCCTGAGGACGATTTAGCTTCTACATTTTCCCTTATGATAACCATGCTCATATTTCATGACCATTGATCATACACCATTCGGTAGAAACTCTAGAGATAGTTCTTCCAGCAAGCACGTGGACGATGATCGCTTGCTGTGAGTCTATTCGGTACGATCCATTTTAGCGAGGCTCGATTAGAGCAAGATCGATCAGCCATCAGTAGAATTTACCTAATTCAAGACACACGGTGAGTTTCCGGAAGGGTTCACGAGAATGGCCCGGTACTTCGCTCTGCTTGAGCCTATGAGCTCAGGCGAGGAGTGGGATGCCTCGATCTGCGTTGGATTCCGGTTGAAATTCTGCTCGAAGCCCTGCTCAGTATATTCCGTCCGAGTCGTGCGACGAAGACAGCGTCCCTCGCTAACCATCAGAGGAGGAATTCCAGCTCGAAGAGTGCGCGTTCAACTTCTCGCTACTTGCTTGAAGTTGCGTCCCTAAATAATTCCCCTCTCCAGAAGTCTTCTTAAGGGGAATCTCCGGAGCAGGAAATCCTTCTCGCGATCCGCTGCTGCGTACCGAACCCTCACGCTGTCTGATTGGTCGGAGCTAGAAGAAAGTTTGCAACACGACGTTCAGAGCTCCGAGTAAGGATAAGGTCTGATGCGCAGAGATTGTTCGGTATAAAGCACAATCCCGCTCCGAGCTCTGAGTCATGTGATAGACGCATCTCCTGTCCATCTCGGAGCGCTGGTGGCTTCCACTCGCGCGCGGAGTCCCGTTGCATGAAGATTCATGAGTCTCACTTTGGCTGGCAACAAGGAAATTCATATGTCACCCCCTGTTTCTTTTCTCCTCCATCGCGGCATCAGCGGTGGCTTCGGCAACACACGTCACTTTGCGGCGTCTTATACACAGCGAGCGGAGAAGCAACCCAAAGAAAGTAGGAAACGAAAATAAGCGTCCTTCTAAAGCATGCGTCTCAGAAGTTTCGGGACCGCCAGGCTCGCCCGAGGAGAAGGAATCTTCCGCTAAATCGACTTCTCAGGTGAACGGCTTCACGACAGTCTATGTGTGTGTTTTTCCATTTCTATTTGTAATTAAGTTGGCCGCTAGAGTGAAATGCCGGTTAAATCCGGATTGCAGTCGTTTCTCTTACAGTCAGATGCTTGCTCTCCCCTGCCACGATTCTCGGCGATTTCGAGCTAGGCCCGAATACGCGGAGTCATGGCTAAGACTGCACATCGGATTGATTGCTCGTCGAGGAAGCGGTCGACCGACGCTGAACCGCCACAAGTGTATGAGGAGCTGTATCATTCATGAGGCAACGCAGCACGTCCCGCTCCCCTAACCTTCGCAGCTGGACGTCAGGTCCATTCTTATTCGGAGCTCATGTCACACTTCAGAATCGGCTTGCATCACGCTTTTTGAATGCGAAGACTCGGACGTCCCTCGCTCGTCGGAGTAAGATATTCCACGGTGTCGGTCCGCACGCAGAACCTCAGAAGCGGGACTGCTCCTTAGCCGATGCGACAAGCCTTGCTGCGGCTGATAAAAATTTCTCCTTACCCGCCGCCTCCGTATAATTTCTGACGCTGATGGAGCCTCCATTGAGATTTTCCCAAAAAACAAGGAGGACTATGGTCCCAATCGATTCAATTCGTGAATTCCTCAATCGCTCGCTTGCAAGACGGCTCCGGAAGCTCGTGGCAGCGATTCAAGTGCTTAACTTTCGAGCACATCCTTCACATGGTGGCAATCTGTTTCGCAGAGCGGAAACTTCTCGAAAGCAGACTTCCGTCGTTGTTCGAGTCGTGTCGGCGGTTCTCGACGACAAGAAAAACTCGAAAAGAGCAAGCAGAACGCCGCACGCCTCATCAGCGTCGCTCCCGGTGAACTGGGAAGCAGCTTTGCGGGTGACAGAAAAAGATTAGGGTTTTTCTGACGTATCCGCTCATATCAAGCACCTACACGATGTACTTAACGTACCTAGAGGCAGTACATGTCAGGATGCGAGGCAGTAAGCGACACGATTCCTCGATAGACTTCGCCTCCGAACAAGTCCCCACCGCTACTCTGAAGCTCCCAGCGGATTTATCGGACTGAGTCTGAGTGAGCGATAGAGAGTGTTCGGAACAGCAGACCCACCCATCCGCTCGCCCGCCCGCCAGCCGAGCGACTCGCTTCCCTAAAATACACTCTCTACCTGTCCCGCTCAGAACAGACTCCCGACGATGCTACCGATGCTTCTCTCACCGGTAGCACCACCACCATCACGACTACTTAGACTACCTGGTTCTTGAGGCAATTACGCCCTCGAACCAGATTCCCTCCACCCGCTTCCATGTTCGACCCCGTGTCATCTTCGAAGGTGCATCCACCCCACCTCGCCCAGGTCGCCTTGATTACCATATAATGGCTTCGAGGGCTTGTTACAGTGAGGGGCCGACCGCCTCCGCCGCCATCAGGAGGACGAGGGCCAACAAGGAGAACGGGGAGCGGGTGTCAGGAGGGGTATGGGGGTCTTAGAACAACACATGGGGGCATAACTTCTATTTTAGTGTAACAGACAGTCATTGAAGGTTGACCGAGGGCCCCGGCACCCCGTTGCTTCCCCGGCCATGAAGGCGGTCAGCCAGCCAACCCGCATCCGGCTCGTGAGGGCGATGGTGGGAAGAGTGAGTCATCATGTTGTTTCGATGCGACTTCTCCCGGTGTTCCTCCAGTCGCCGTCGTAGGCAAAGTCGTAAGATGCTTAGGCTCGGCATACTCAAAGGAAGATTGCGACGAGGGACCTTATTCCTCTCTGTCGACCCCTCCTAGTCGCCCGGGCCCGGGCCCGGAACGCGCCACGCTCACGCGCCACACCGTGCATTACGCAATTAGAAGGATATCCTGTCCGGAGGAACCGCGCCCTCAGCTGCGGATCGACTCAGGGGGGCAGTTGCCCGATCGCCGACCGATCGGTCGACGGCCAGGCGGCAACCCGGCTCTCCGCCTTCCCAGTCCTTGCAGGGGAGCATGGCTCGCGAGTAATAGATACCGCGTCCAATCTGCGACGCAGCGTATGCTCAAATGTATTCACCACCCTCCGGAGATCAAGAGCTCGTCTTCTCCCGCTTTTTGCTCTCGTATTTCCTCTTCTGGCCCTCGATGCGTCCCCCCAGCTCCCTACTGCCCCTCGACCGTCTCCTCCAGACGACCGGAGACGGGATATTGCTCGGATGGGGTAATGTTTCATTTAGGAAGACGCCGCTGTTGTAGGCATCAGACGGGAGGGAGGAGAAGAGTCTTCATCCGTCTGCAAGTGCAAAGTAGATCCGAAAAGCAAATTGTTGAGGAGGGAGGAGGGGCTCAACAATCGTTAGCGAATTCGTGCATCGCGCCGGGTAGAGCTCTTCAGAGAAATAGCTCGACGAAAGGAAGATGAGGAAACGATCTCTCAGCTCTTCCCTAAGCTCGTCTGCCAACAAAGGCTCTCCAGGTGAAATCGCCTGCGCTGCTGCTGTCAACGGCGAGGCGGAACGAAAATCTAGGTTTTGGTGGTGAAACGACGGCCGATAAATATTCGCAGCGGGTTCGGTATCCGAGCACGCGTTCGAACGTCGCCCGTCCGGTAGGCTGCCCAAATTGTCATTTGTGGACCTGCGAACGTCACGTCAACCGGCTTCAGGCCACGTTCTGAGCGTGCTCCTCGCATTCGACAATCGCTCACACGAGCTGATGGCCACGTATACGGAGATCAGCAGCGACACTTCGAATACCTGAATGTTCCAGCGAACAAGAACCGCGTTCAAAGTCTGCATAGAACGCGCTCGCTGGATTGCTATGGCACTTTGGAAAGCGCGACCGTCTTCAACTTTGAGAAGGCGGTCGAGGGAACGAGCGGTCGCGGGTGCGGGGAAGGACGGGCGGCAGGCGAGACTCCACGCAGTCAAACAGGCAAACTGACATTAGCATACGACGTGTTTTATACCCGAACAGAAGAGCGGGAGATGGGGGGCGGGGGAAAAGGGAAATCTCGACCGCCCGGTATCTGAGGTTAAGTTTGAAGCGCGGCTGGTGGGAGACCGGCTGACTAGACGACTGCTTGAATGCGTTCGCTCTCTTCTTCATCTCTCACGGCCCACACAGATATATATATGTCCGCCCGCCCGTTCGCGAAACGACGAGTCACACGGGCACGGAATGGAGGCACGGATACTCGAAGCAGTTCGCGAGAGAATTCCCGAAGATATGCCGCGGGAGAGAGAGCCTTCACGTTGAAACGTGTTTAACGGTCCGAACAAGGCGATCCAGAGGGCGGCAGCACCTTTGCCCATCTCAGCAACAAGGTTTTTTTGAATTTTAGTGCGATTGCTCACTTGTCGTTGAATGACTGCAGCAGAAGCAGCACGTTCGCGTCCCTGCGAGGCTGCGACGGGATTTTATTCCTTCCAACTTTATCTCTCTCCTTCGATTTCGCTCGTACAGAAGCGCCAGGCCAGCGAGATACCCGATATGGAGTGCAGCCTAGCGACCCGAAAACCATATGTTCCTGTTGCGATAGAGCCGACTCTGTCGACCAGATAACAGCAACGGAGTAAGCTGTGGTAGCAACAACGACGAAAATAACGGGGTAAGTGACGAGAAGGCCTCGCCGCTCGGCTACGAAGCATGCGGGCTCACCCTGTCTATAACTCATGCACTCAATAACTCACTTTGTTGACTGAGTGAGGGAACAGTCTTTCGAAATGCTTATCGACCTCGTCGACGAAATCGCGTGTGATTGCAGACAATGGATTCGTGTGCCTAATAGCATGGGTCCTCGAACTCGAATGAACTCGGGATGTAATTATGATCATCACTCCCCTGCCATTGATGTCGACGTGCTCAAGACTTCGAACTGTTATACATACATGCATGATTGGGGAATCGTGTGC